GATTGGACTCTTGACAAAGCTACATATAATTGGCCATGAGTAAAGACAGGCTTAGGTAAATTTAAACTCATATTAAGAATTGTTTGGCCTTGTACTTTGTTTATAGTTATTGCAAATGATAATTTGATAAAAATTGCCTTTGTACTTATTGAAAGGGCAGATCGGTATCTGATAGTGTTAATCTTACTCGAGGTATAAAGACTCTTTTTTCTTTGTTAATGCCTGTTAAGATTTTAGCATCGATAAGATATTTATAACAGGCTTTAACAATTAATCTTGTACCATTGTATAATCCTTCAGATGCATTAAGATTATGTAAAAGAATAATAGGTATATTTTCTTTGAGATTTAAGCAATAAGGTGGCATTCCACTTGGTGTCAAAGTATTTAAAAATTCTATTAGATAAAGACTTGCATCAACTTGATCTTGATCCTCAACAGAATTAGCAGAAAGATATATATATTCTTTTGGATTAGGAAGTTGGTCAAGTATATGATTATTGATATTTTCAACATCAATATTTTTTGTTGTAAGAATTGCCCTCTCTTGAATATAGTCAGGATCTTGATAGTTTGTATTAATATCATCAAAGACCTCTGATATTAAGTCATCAAGATTTTCATTATCCAAGGCTATATAATTGGGCAATTTTATAATATCTTTGAGAAGATCAAAATCTACTAGTACTCTTTCTTCACCAACTTCTAATAAAAATTCAGCAAATTTTTTTGTTCGGAATCATCTTGTTGTTGAACTCTCATGTTAGTTTTTAATTTTATGCTATGAACTTTTCCCCAAAATTCTGAAGATTTTATGTATGCATTAACAACTTGACCCTTGAATCTCAAATAACAACAAGTAAAATTTGTTTAAAGTCACTACCAAAAATTATTATTTTCTTCCAAAAGGTTTATCCTTTTCCCCTGTTATAAATTTAAACAATTTGTTAATCACTTCAAATACATGTCTATGCAATATTGAAGCCTCATAGCTTTGGTATCTCTGATTTATTGAGCTATATCAGATTGCTTTTCAATATTACAAGTTGAGTCTTTGGCCAGATTTAATAAAATTTTAAATCTTGAATAAGCAGTTCTTCTACTACTCATTAATAAAGCAGCAATTTCTAAAGATGCTATAGCAATTGCAATTGCATTTAAACCTTGTTCTTTTGATCTTATATAAGCCAAGATCAAATTATATAAAAAGGTTTTTTTAGTTTCTCCAGGCCCATCAATAAAAAATAAATGTTTATCAAATTTACCATTAAGTGCTGCAACAATAGTATTATATATTATTTTTTGTTTAGGATTTATCTCTATTATTATTTAATATTTCATTAAGCTCATCCTGATCAAAGTTTAGTTCCTCAGCAGCAATAGTATTTTGATAATTTTCATCCTCCAATAAAGCATAGTTTTGAGTTGGAAGTTTTATAATATTACTAAGAGCTAATCTATTTTTTTTTGTATTTAAGTGATCTTGCTTCTATTTATTTTATGAACTATTATACAATTAATTATATAAGTAACCACCGAGATAGTGTAATGCTCTATTCTAATAGAAACTCATCAAACATACAAAGTACTGCCCAATGCAACCTGCTATAACAACTATTAGTCTCACAAAGGGATCCAAAACTCGCTTCAGATTTTGTATTGACAAAAGATACCCCCCTCGATCATTTGACTAGATATTGTATACCATGTCAGAATCTCTTTTTTCCCTTCTAATTTTTCTTTCTTCTCAAGAAGCATGAGACAAAAGAGAGAAATTTTCAAACAAATAATAACGAAAATAACCAGAAAAAAAGAAAAAACAGAAAAAAAAAATACTAATTGTGAAAAAGAAAAAACATAAAAAGAAATCTAAAACCCTGAAGGCACTATTATAGCCCATACGTAGCTGATAAAAATTATATATCAAATGCAACATTTGTATATCTCTACTATAAAGCTATATCTCAATATTAAATTTACTTTCCAACCTTCTCACCAACTCTGGATGGCTTTGTTGTCTATCCTAATTTGTATCTTGAGACAGGTGCTGCCATTGTCTAAGAACCTGTATTTCAAGCCACCTGCTGTCATAATTAGAGTTTCTAGGCTAAGTTCTATGAAAAAGCACCATATTCGTCTATAAACAAATATGTGGTTGCATTCTACTACTTTGTCCGAATTTGGAAAATAAACAATATTGATTTTTTGGAGAGGTAAGCCAAATTTCCACTTTTTGTTTAAATGTTTTGGAAGACCAACAGAAGAATGAGAGAGAATAAAAAGATATCACTTAACCAAGTAAAAAGAGTGCAACTTAAAGAAAGTAACAGAATATTTTGTTGTTCCCCAGTGTCTTCAAAGAAGTACAATCTAAAAGCTTAGTTAACAAAGAAAAAAAAGTGTCCAAAGAGTCCTCTTCTTCACCAAGATTTTTTATACAAGGGCACCTCTTGCTAGTTATCTTGTATAATAATGCTCTTGGCTTGTATGCCAAATGTTACCTGTAGAGAAGTTCCACAGCAGTATGTTAACCTCTAGACAAACCGCTACATTAGGCCACAACTCTCCAACAAAATTTGTGTTTTTCTTCTATAAGAATTTTGGATCGAGTGATTATCAGAAAGAGTTGATGATTAATCCGAGAGCTAATCTATTTTGAATTAAATATTTTTCAATAATGATTAATACTTTTGTAATATTTAATTCTCTATTATTATTTGTTGATTAAAAATCTTCAATTAAATGCTCAACATATTTATCCCAAAGCTCTTTTACATTTACTGTTCAACAGTAAACTAATATAAAGGCAAATAAATGTCTTAGTTGTGCAGGCATTTAAAGTTTTTTGCCTTTTCAAAACAATTAAAACATTCACAGTTATTATCAACCAACCTAGTATGAAAGGCAGCTTCAAAATAAGAACTATATTCTATAATATCTATAGTTCTTAAATCTAGAAAAGATATAACACTATGTTCTATATTTAATAAGGCTCTTAAATAAAATCTTTCTGTATCTTTTGGATTAACAAAATATATTCAAGAGATTATTTTTGCACCATGTTGCTTTCTTCTTTGCCAATTATTGGTACTTCTATTCCAGGTAAAGTGTTTTGGAACATCACAATATCTTAAAGTTTTAAAAAATTCATCATTAGGATTATTAGCACAAAGTTCAAAATATCTTGTTAACTTTGTATGCTTTTCTTTTTCAAGAGCTAATGATATTGATTGAGACAGTTGAAAAGTAACAGGAAGTCTTTCAACTGTATATGACCTTTTATGTAAACCAAAATTAAATAATCTCCAAATTCCTTCAGAAGCAGAAACATATCTTGCATTCAAATAATTTCTAATTTCATTATTTAGATTATGATGATTTTTTACTATAGATATTAAAACCCTATTTTGTCTTTTATAAACATATTTGTAGAGATATTTAACTGATCTAACACTTGAACATATCTCTACATTAAGATAACAATTATATTTTTGACTTAAGTATGGATTATAAAGAACAATCTATCTATTGTCAATATCAACTATTATTTTTTTTTGTAAATTTTTTTTGAATTTTCTTTTCTTCTATATACAGAATATCTGGTTTTATTTGTTGTTATTTTTGCAGCAAAATCTCTTGGAAAATATTTACTGTATTTTCCATTAATCATACATAAAAAATCTGTATCAACTTTTTCACAGGGTCCATAAACTATGCATTTGCTAATTATATTATATAATTTTGGTTGTATATCTGGATCTGGTATTTTAGCAAATATAATTTTATTATAATTTTCGGAAGTTTGTAGTTTATCTTCAGATGCCAATATAAGCAATATATAAGTATGTAACAACCCTCTTTTTTGAAACTCAACTATATATATATATGCAATAACTTTCTCCAATACACCTTTTACAACTAAATCATTGATTATTGCATCTAATTTTAATTTGAAAACCCTTGTTTCCAAATCTGACCTATTAGCAGATTTTTGTTTTAATAAAAGTTTAGATGTAATCTCAGGCCATTTTGGATTATATATTACTGTTATAAACAGATCAGGTTTTCCAAATTCTCTAACAATTGTTATAAAATCTTAATACAATTGTTGTAAATATCTCGTAAATTCAGTAAAGCTTGATGACAAAATAATCTTTTTGCTAACTTCATCAAGATTGGCATCTTCATTAGAAATCATATCTTGAAATTTTTGATAGATTTCTGATCTTAAATCCTTTTGATTTTAGTGGGATATCACCATATAATATAATTATATTATATAGTGATATCCCACTTAAGTTAGATTATATAATCTAATTACCATCATATAGTTGGGGTATTGCTGTATAATCTAAATACCACTATATAATACAATTACCATCATATGGTTGGGGTATTGCTATATAATCTAAATAGCATTATATAATCTTAATATGAAGTCTAATTACCATTATATAATCTAAATAATGCATTATAATTATCACTATATAACCTATATACCTTCCTATTGGGTATCTATTTTATGCTCTAACTATATTTTTAACCCCCTCCTACTATTCGTGTTTTATTATTCTATTATCATTATATAATTTAAATATCGCCCACCATTTATTCTAACTATCCTCCTACATTCTAACAATCACTCTTTTCTTCTTGTTTTTAAGTTGTTTACAGGTTAATTTCTACATTATTGATACCGATCTTCTATACCCGATTAGATCCTGGGTTCTATATTAAGGATGCGGGTTGTCTACCTGTTTGAATCACAAATTTTATACTAATAATATTGCCCCTCTGTATCCATTTGGATGACACAATTCTATACTATTTCATCTTCGATTTTTGAAAATATCAGAGGTGGTATAGGATAATTATTACAGATAGAATCAATTAACATCATTTGTTTGTCTGTGGTCCAAACTTTGGTTGGTTTTTAATATCAGGCTTGCAGGTTGGTTTGGGGTCGACTTGGTTACCTTCTTGGTGTTGAGGTTACCTTTATGCCCTGTGCCTGTTTGGGTGCCATATTGGTTATCTTGATGAAGCCTTGGATATCTGTTTGGGGTTGTCTTGATTATCTTATTTGTGAAGCCTTGAGTGCTAGTTTGGAGGCTATCTTGGTTGCCCGAAATAGTATAAAAAAGGCTACTGGTGGCACAGTAAATTCGTGGTGAAATTTTGTTTAATTTTAGCTGACACTATGCTATAAT